GTAGAAAACACAAGGCTGCTGGCCAGAGACAAAGGACTTTATTGCTCATGCATCCGCATGTTTGCAAAGTTCCCTTTGCCCCCTCCCCATCCCACACGGGTGATACCATGCACACAAAGGGATGGTGCGCATGCAGTAGGTTTGCTTTGCAGCTGACGAATAGTGAACCTGGTGAATCCTCTGCTTTTTTAGCAAACAGGAAACAAGCCTATTCTTTGTCCTGGTGAAACATGACCTTATCCCTCAAGGTTGCTTACTGCAAACTCAATCCTGAGTAATGATCCGGATAAAGAGCAGTCAGAGCACACCCAGTAAGACATGTAGGAGCTCCAGAGACTTGTGGAGGATTATCCCTCCCAATAGTACTTACTATAGGAAAGGCGAAAACATAAATAAGGAGTAAAATCGACCTCTTACATACATTTCCCATCAACTTCGTTGTTAATTTAGTTCTACAAAATGGATCCAAAGTCGAGCGAGGTTTATGAGCAACCACTGGAGTCACACACCAAACTCAGGTGATAATGTTTTTGAAACTGTGGCATAAATGCTCCTGTTAGGGATAGCTAAAAGTCCTTATACATTATTGGCCTTACTGCTTGGGGCTGGGATGACTCACTCAGGAAGGGTCCCTGAGGGGTCTCCATTTCCCCAAAGCTTGAGGATGATCCTTCAGGTGTCCCTGAGATGGCGCTAATGTCCTCTGTCTCAGAATGCAGTGAGGGTTTCCTCACAGAGCCTACAATTGTCCACTTCCAAGCCCTTGCCTTTCACCAGCCTGCTGTCAGATTTCAGCAGAGTCCCCCCAGAATGGCTTCGAATAACGACTGATCTCTACAGCAGAACGCTGCATTCAGTTCTGAGCTCAGAAGGCCCCTGCTCCTCAAGCTGGGTCATATTTCAAAGCTCTTTATGTTACTCCATCATCTATTCATTACTTCCTCTTCATTCAGTTTATTAAATATATACTGAGATGCTACCAGACTGGCAATTCTGCTAGGACTAAGAGCTCATGCTTCTGCCCTCAAGAAACCGACCCCGAGGGAATCTCAAGCAAGTATTTTTACACCAAGTGCTCATTATGATGGGTGTCAATGACGTCATGTGATTTTTTTGGCAATAGCTAAATCAGATGCTATATTACTTTTCAAAATTAAAGTTGTGGGAAAAATGATTGCTTGATCTGTGTAGAGTCCTTGGCAGGTAATTACTGTGTTTGTATATCTTGATATTAATTAGCAGAGATGCATGTGAGGTGCTAAAAATGTAACAAAATGAATTGAGCAGTTAGTATACAAGAGAACATCAGCATCTCTCTTGATAATCTGACAAAGGAAGAAACTGTTCAGATTGAACAACTAAGTCAATAAACCAAGACAAGATCTGAGAAGAAGACCATGACTTGGGTTGTGTTGTCTCCCTCTCACTTTCCCAAGGGAAGAAGAGAGTGGCCACTCAGGTGACAACACAGGCCAGCCGGGCGGTGTATTCTCAGTGTGACAGCTCGCCGTCCTGGTACCTGGGGAGCTGGGGACCCAGAAATACCAGTAGCACATGTTAGAAATAATCCCTCATGGGGTGGTCATGTCACTGTCCCCAACCTGTGCAACCTACTCTCCTAGCAAACACTAACACTTTGAAACAAGTGGGTTTTTTTGTGTTTGCTTTTATTTTCAAGAAAAAACTTCTTGGATTCGATTGATTAGTATTTCTTAATGAAAATTTTAATCTCCTAGTTCCATCCACATTAGCGAAATTCCATTTCATAGTCAATTATAAGCCACTAGGTTTACCCTACAGCACTAATATTCCTTCAATCAATTTAGCAAAAAAGATGTGAAGGGCTGCGGATCATGGAGACAGAATTTTGTAGTGAATACATCTTTGAATGGGCAGAAATCTAACTAAATAGTAATCAATTAATGTCACTCCCAGTCCTTTCCTCTAATGGGCATCGACATCAGCCAACCAAGGAGTGCCCTCAGGTCAAGACCACACTTGCAAAAGCTGTGTGTTAGGTGTGACTTCTGTATATGCAAAGAAAGCTGAGTTTAACAACTTGTTCAAAGTCACTTTCACTCAGCAAAATGAGTGTTTGATTCAAGCCAGGTCTATCAAATCCCCAAATCTGTGCTTTTCAGGGCAGGGAAGAGAGAAAGCTTGCTGAATGTGTGAGAATCTGAGGGCGGAATACCAATCCTTACCCCTTCTCAACTCCAACCAGTGCCCCAACCAGTGATCTGGTCTACTGCATGTCTCAAGTATCTGACTGAGATTATATTCAAAGACATTCAGATGTTGGTTAAAAAGAAAGAAAAGAAAAGAAAAACACCATGCATTGCACTACTCAGATATTTTGAGGCTGAGTTAAATAAGACTGGATGATTATTATCAAAACTCTCAGCCTTGGGGCGCCTGAGTGGCTCAGTCGTTAAGCGTCTGCCTTCGACTCAGGTCATGATCCCAGGGTCCTGGGATCGAGTCCCACATCGGGCTCCCTGCTCCACGGGAAGCCCACTTCTCCCTCTCCCACTCCCCCTGCTTGTGTTCCCTCTCTCGCTGTGTCTCTCTCTGTCAAATAAATAAAATCTTTAAAAAAAAAACCAAAACTCTCAGCCTATAACAGTGGTTCTCAAGTTTTGTGTACGTAAGAAGCAGCTCGGGTATTTGTTTAACCTGCAGATTTCTAAGCCCCACCCTCAGAGATCTGATTGAATGGTCTGGGGAGAAGCCCAGAAATTCGTGGTTTTAACGGGTACTTCAGGAGAATTTGATGCAGGTGCTGAGAGCTGCATTATGAAAAACTAAGCAAAGATATTTTGAAATAAAGCTGTGAATACAAGCTGTTGAATGCAAGAAATTGTTCTATCTTCCCTGTTTGATGCACGTGCCAACCCCTTTGGAAAGGCCTCCTTGAATTCAAGGTCCAGCAAAGACTTGTCTTAAATCCTGGATGTCTACCCTGATTTGAGGTTGGGGAGAGAATAGTTAACGGCCATGGGAGAGAGAAAATGAGTCTTAGAATCCTGTATAAACTCCTTCATGTAAGTCCGAGAGGCTAATGAATAGGGGACATGTAGAGGGAAAAGTTAGGGTGTTCAAAGCCAGCAGAAAGGAGACCCCCAGTCAGAAGAACAAGTGAAAGAAACAAAAGAAATGAACAAAGAAATTCTCCTCCTGAAAATATCGAGTAGATTTCTTAGGAACTCAGAGGTGGGCACATTTCTAATCTACAAATCATGGCCTGACAGCCGGCTCTGGGCCAGTCCTTCTTTGCTGGGAGCAATGTTCTGAGAACCCTTCCACCTTGGACTCAGCATTGCTGACACATCCCAGGAAGGATTAAGGACGAGAATGTGAGGTCCAGGAAGCAGCAGTGATGCGAATTGTGGCAGCCCCAGGGTTCTGTTGCAGGAGGAGTTAGATGCAAGAGTGTGTAGGTAGGGGGAGCTTGAAGCTGTGTTTGTTCAGGACTTTATGAGATATTGACAAAAATTATGATCTGCATCCTATGTATCTCCCAGGTAGAGATAAATGAGAAGTGTTTGGGGTTTAAATGCCTCTCCCCAGCCACCCCTCCACGTGGGATGGAACCTGATTAGTTGGTTTTATTATCTTTCCTCCCCTTGCTATTTCCCCCAGGAGAGACAGATGCTATGCAGGTTCCAGTGTTATTAAATTTGCATTTGCCAAGGTTTGGTCCAGCTCACGTCGGGAAGGGCGTGCTGGTCCTGGGGCAGCCAGGACTATCTGCCACAGACTGTCTGTGCAGCGGGTCCTCAAGGCCATGGGAGGCTACAGTGGGGAAGCATGGCTGACCTAGAATGACCAGGGGTCTGTGTGTGCTGGTGGGTTGTTTCCCCCAGATGCTACTAGTCCCTGGGTGCTTCCTAAAGCTGGCTCTTCCCTCTCAGTCTCTTGTGTGAGATTTTTCTCCATATGTTTCATACATGTCCAGACACTCCTGGCTTGCTGGGCATCCCCACACAATCTCCCACGGGGATCTCAAATTCACCATGTTCCAAACTGAATTGATCATTTCCTTCCTACCCAGACCCGCTTCTGTATTTCTATCTTGATGGATGAAATACTCAGCCCCTCGGCTGCCCAAACTACAATGTTTGGAATCCTCATCGACTCCTCCCTCTTGCCTACCCTGGGTCAACCAACGTTGGTTTTACTTCATAAATATTCCTTATACCCACGCCCTCCTCTGGATCCTTTGCCACTGCTCTGGCTTAGGTCTTCATCATTTCTTCAGTAGATTTGCATTTGCTTCCTTACTGATCTCTCTTCCAACGGTTTTCAAAGCAGAAAAGGCTATTGGCATTTTGGGAAGGACAGCTGTGCATTGGTGTAAAATGGTTCCAGGTCTCTATGACTTTTAGCTTGCATGTATGACATGTCAGTGCCCCCTGGTTGTAAGAACCGATCTCTCCTCCCACAGATGGTGCTAGAAAGGAGTTTAATGCTGGTCAGAGAGACCCAGGGATATCAAGGGGGAAAGTGGAAACGTAGGAACCAGTAGGGGTGACCTGAAAGAAATCTGGAGGTGAGATCCTGTGCCCCGAGGGGCCCTTTATACTCTCCTACGGTAGGAATGGCTCCTCCAAGGGCCTTAGATGCAGCAGACATCACATCTCTGCCTGTCCTCCTTCAATTGTATCTTCAGTCTCCTCCTTGACCTCTTCTTATTCTATATATTACCCCCAGGAGACTGATTTTACTTGCAAGCCCCAAATGTCATGTAAATGCCAATTTCTCCCGACCTTGTGTCTCTAGCCAAGATATCTCTTCTGACTTTGGAATTGAGTATATGAAAAAGATGGCTATTCATATCAATTTAAAAAGGTATAAACTACTCAACAATAAATTGTGTCTATACATATGGGAAAAGGTTGAAATAGATCCTTAACCAATTATGGAAATATGCTCCTGAGGGTTAAAGAAATTAATAGAAAAATTATGAAGTCATAGAAGTAAATATAAAAGGCACATACCTTTTGATGGTTCCAGTTTAAGATGGCGACATAGGAAGATCCTGAATTCACTTCCTCCCACAGACATACCGAGTCCACAGCTGTGTATGAAAAGAATTTCCTCTGAAAATAATGAAAAGGCTAGTTGAACAATGACTACACATTGGGCAAACGAGAAGAAAATCACCTCAAAGAGGGGAGGGGAGGGGAGGACACAATCTTGCCGTGAACCTTACCCCCAGTGCAGCGACCAGCAACCAGAACTCAAAGTCTGGAGCTTCTCCTTGAGGAGAGAAGGGTTCCAACCCCACATCAGCACCCTAAGTATTAAGACCTGCATCTGAGAGATGAGCCCCCAGACATCTAGCTTTGAAAACCAACAGAGCTTGTGTGCCTGGGAGGCGCAAGATTAGAGAGCTGACACTCGGCTCTTAAAGGGCCCGTAGGCTGAGACTCACCGCCCCGGCGCCCAGGGCAGAGGCAATGATAGTGCCCAGACTTTAAGTGAAAGCGGCCCACTGGCTTATATTAAAGTGTCAGTCCGAGTACAGACATTTAATCTAACACACACACCGAAGAGCCTGCTGGAATACTCTCCTGGGCCAGACACTGGGGGGTGCCATCCTCATGCTCTCCCTCTGCCTTGCTCTAGCTGAATGGGAGAAGGGGCTCAAAAGGTACAGATTTCCAGCTATGTATATATGGTATTTATATATATATGGTATTTAAGGTATTAAGGTATTATATATAAAAGTTCTTTAAAATCCTCTTATAACAAAAATGAAAAAAGAACTCCTAAATATGAAAAAGAAAAACATACAATTGAATATTGAACTATATGAAACACATTAATAGGCATTCATGGCAGAAAATAACATGAATGACTGTGAGACATGAAAACAATTTTCATCTAGTTAGTAATCAGGGGAATTAAAATGAGAGCAACAGTAAGATTATTTCCTCTCTTGGGTTGCCTGGCTGGCTCAGTGGGTAGAGCATGTGACTCTTGATCTCAGGAAAGTGAATTCAAGCCTACATTGGGTGTGGAGCCTACTTAAAAAAAAAAAAAAAAGATTATTTCCTCTCTGGATTGAAAGAGAGAGAGAACATGAGTGAAGACAAGATATTAACCCACACACTGCTAACGGTATACAATTTCAGTCTGAATTGAAAGGAAATTTGGCAGTATCTCAGAACTTAAAGTATACATATTCTTTGACTCAATAATTTCACTTCTTATGTACTCCCCCGAGAAAGTCACAAATATGCGCAACATACAAGGATGTTTATTGCAGTGCTGCTTGTCAGCAAAGAATTGAAAGAAACCTGATGGCCAAATATAATATGGCACATCAATGGCTAAATATATTATGGTTTGTTCTATCTTAAGATACTATACATAGATTAGAAAAATAATTACATACATATGTGCTCACGTGGACATTCAATGAGAAGATATAGGTTCAAAAACAAAACTGTATCAATATCTTGTTATATAAAAATAAGCAGAAAAGCAATGCCTTGCCTGATAAAGCAAATTTTTGGTATAGCATGAGAAGTCGTGAAGGAATTAAACCTTTAATTTACATTTTTGAGAATTTTGCTACAAAATACACACTTAGTATTGCCCTAAGAAAATTGGAATAAAGGAATATACCAGATATTACGTTTTTCCTTTAATGAAAAGGGAAGGGAACAAACCAAGAGAGTGAAGAACAAAATGCAAGCAATTCCGTAGGAAAGGAATCCATCAGCGTGGGTTCCCGCCCTCATCGTTCCTAGCTCAAGAAAAGACCAAACAGCAACTGCAATCCCACTAGTTCCACCAGGGGGCACCACTGGCCAACTCCACACTCAGCAGACGGCCAGCGCGGCAGCCCATTCTTGGGGTTTCTGATGCCCCACACTGATCAGACACACTTCTCTGATAACATACTACATACATGGTGCCTGAAGGTGTAGTCCTAAGCGTCTGCCATTTGCCTCTGTTGGGACTAGAAAGTCTATTCCTATGTTGTTGAGGGGAGATTTCTCCCATTCCCCATCCCCAACACCCTTTAGAAAAATATATTTATTACAATTGCATTCTGCAAATTTTTTTTAAGATTTTATTTATTTATTTGACAGAGAGAGAGAGAGAGAGAGAGAGCACAAGCAGGGGGAGCAGGAAAGGGAGAAGTAGGCTTCCTGCAAAGCACGGGTCTCGATCCCAGGACCCTGGGATCATGACCTGAGCCGAAGGCAGATGCTTAACTGACTGAGCCACCCAGGCGCCCCTTGACTCAATTATTTCTTAAAGAAACTTTAAGTCATAAAGTACCTACTTAGCATAATACCACTCAAGTACCAGCCAGAAGCTATTGTCATCCAACTGCGACCAGAGCCCTAACTCTGCAGCAGCTCACCACACCAGAACCAGCTTCCCAGCTGCTGGGGGGCTCCTCCTCTCTGTGGGGAGGAGATACTAGAAAGTCGATGTTACCTCCACTAGAGAAAACTGGGTATGGCTTACGTGTAGATTTGAGGTTATTTCTAATCCTCCTTTGTGGCAGGGGTTCAGTGTCCGTGGAGATTCTTCATGCTCAGAACAGCACAAAGTACACAGTCTCATTGTGTTTCTTAGACATTCAAGTGGAGGTAGTGAGTTGGTGGTTGATATGAGTCTCAGCAACAGTGAGATGATCTGAACTAGAGATAAGGTCCACTTCTGAGGAAATACAAATAAACATAACTATTAGAATCACATTTTGAGATATTTTTTTCTCTCTTGCATATTTCCTTTTTAAATTTTCTGAATTGTACCCCCAACCACCTCGGTCCAAGCAGTTGGGCCAGTTTAAGTTGATTGTCTCAGGGGCGAGAGCGTTATGGAAAACAGCGTGCCAGTCTCTGGCTAACACCCAAGCTCAGCAAGGAGAAGAAGTAAGACGCCGCTGAGGGTAAGTACCACAACGGAGTCTAAAAGCAGAATGAAGAGTTCCCTTGGGTGGGGGTGGGGGGGAGCTAGGAGGAAGTCTGGTGTTGGAGTCTGAAGAGTTAGGAAATTTCCAGGAAGGAATGGCCACAGCCTCCCAGTGGTTCCTGAGGCCTGAGGCCCAGAGGATCAGTGGGTCCTGAAGAGAGGGCTCATGCATGACGTTATCTGGGCAGAGTTCTTGGGTAAGTGGGAGGAGTAAAGCATGATAGGACTCCAGAGAGATCTTATGGGACCTGCAACCAGTGAGCAAGCAGGGATCCCCCCGGGGTGGGGGGTGGAATGGATGGTTAATTCTCTACACCTGCCAAGAGAAGGCAGACCACAGTGAGGAGGGGCGGGGATGGACTGGAATATATTGGGATTAAATTTCTGCTCTTCCTATGGATCAGCAGCGCTGCTGGTGGTGCGGGGCTCCAAAGAGAAACTGAGTTAAAGCTACATGAAGCTATATCTCTTTTTTTTTTTTTTTAAGATTTTTTATTTATTTATTTGAGACAGAGAGAATGAGAGACAGAGAGCATGAGAGGGAGGAGGGTCGGAGGGAGAAGCAGACTCCCTGCCGAGCAGGGAGCCCGATGCGGGACTCGATCCCGGGACTCCAGGATCATGACCCGAGCCGAAGGCAGTCGCTTAACGAACCGAGCCACCCAGGCGCCCTATATCTCTTTTATATGAATCTGAAGACTGACACTCCTTCCCTCACAGGTCTTGTTTTCTTATCAATTCTTCACCGTCATGCTAACTTACCGGGAGACTCTTGGAAACATTTATGCTTATTCCATCATGAGATGGTCACATGACTCCATTGTTTTCTGAATGAGGTCTGGAAGAATTATAGTTGTGGAAGGAAACAACACACTCAGTTTAAAACTATGAGCAACAGGAGACGTGGGGCATGGGGGTTGACTGCAAGTAAAGAATGTAGAAGCCTTCACTGAAAGGATCACACATCCATGCACACATTCTGCTTCAGTACCGTGTAGAGAATCCCCCAGGGCACTACAGAAGCCTTTCTCTTGCTTCTCTACCAAGGATTTCATGACCTTCCTTCTAGACTAAATTCAAATCTTACTTGCTTTATGAAACCCTGTCCATCAGCTCTAAGAAAAAAAAAATTAGCTTTTTTTTTCCTCTTTGCTTCGAGAGCATTCTTTTAAACTTGTGTTATGTTTTTTGTGCTTTATCGTTATTATTTGTTTCTATATTTGTCTTCCTCTGCACAGTATGTATAAGAGAAACACTTTGCGTTGTTTGGATTCGACTCAGTTAGATTCATGATGTTAATTAAAGTGTGCACATTGACTCGTGAGTGGGTTTTGAAAACAGTAGATTGTGAGCAGTATATTTTTAAAATGGAGAAAAGAACAGAAACCATCAAAGTGATCCAGACATTTTAAGGATGAATAATGCCTCATGAAATTTGTTTCTATTATCTATTTGGATGTTTTGAGTCACAATAAAATGTTCTTCTTATTGAGGATAATTAAAAAAAAAAATCAAACATTGGAGGCTCAGACATTTTGGGGTAGACCCCAGGAAGAAAACGATAGCCAGAGATTCTGCATCTTTCAAACTATGAGGGGATCTACACCACACAGAGAGCAATGGGTCAATTGATACAAATTCATAGCTTAAGTGAGCAAATAAAATAACTATGGATCATGTTATGGAGGTCAACAAGCTATGTCTGTGAAGACAGTAAATATTTTAGGTTTTGTGGGCTATAAGGTGTCTGTCATAACTACTCAACTCTGCTATGGTAGGGCAAAAAACAGCCACAGGTAATATGTAAATGAATATGACTGGATTCCAATAAAATTTCAATTTCATATATATTCAGGTATCATGAAATATTCTTCTTCTTTTGATTTTTTCAACCGTTTAAGAATGTAAAAGCCATTCTTAGCTAATGGTGATTTAAAAACATACCTTATTAATAGAAAATTTGAGGTCTAATAAGGCCTACATGTCAGGTGATTATCATTAACAAGATAGTTTGTTACAGTTCCCACAGATCCCATGCCATGGGATCACTCTGGAGGAATGGGGGAAATTGCAGGCAAAAAGCCTTTACTGTGGTTTCTGTGGGAAGGAATGAGTAAGTCAAGGTAAGCAGGCTTAGGATTGGCTAGTTTGAATAATTTCAGCAGGCTCGAGGGTGTAGGGTCTCTCCTTGGTTATCTAGTACCCAGCCCTGGGGTGATGAGGGCAGGTGAATTGTGGCCTGGAGTGTGAGAGCCCAGTAAAGGGGGTGTTTGGGGTTGTAGGCTCTGGACTGGTTGGTTTATATTTGAAAAGTGCGCTCATTTGTTTACTGTCTCTAAGAATTGGTTAACTCAGGGAAGGTCAGGCCCCAGGTGTCAGAGCATCAGAATACAGCAAATAAAAGACATGGTTACTACATATGGACCATATAAAAACAGGGAGAAGGCCAGATTTGGCCCAGGGGCTGTGGATTGCCATCCCATGGACTAAGAGCCTAAAGATAATGTTGAATGTCAAACATGCAGGTGTTGTGAAAAATAAGTACTTCATGATAAATTAATAAATGTAGTACATCATGAAGCTTCTTGATTCTTGCCAGTGAACATGAAAGAAAGAAATTATAATTTATGGTAAGAAACACCTGCATCCATTCAAACTTAAGGAAGACCTTATCCTATTTGGCCTATGTATTCCGTTCATTCTGCTCCCGTAGTCCCCAGAACGTGAATATTCCCTGACCTGCTCTTTCTATCTTTACCGAGAAGAGCAATAGGCAGAGAATGGAATTTGGAATTCTCAAAGTAGTTGTCAACACGGTTTTATCTGCACAAGTCCTCTAGTAAAATATTAGTGAGATCTCTGTCATCTCATCATTCTACCCAGACTGAATTAAAGTTTTTGGAGTTCATAATCTAATTTTACCATCGTGAATTCCTTGAGGGCAAGGATGCTGTTTTCGTCCCCATTACTGTCTTGCTCAAGTCCTTTCGCGGGCTGCTCAACACAGTTGGGAGAAAATCCCAAGGCCAACCTGTGGCCGCCGCCTTCCCAGATCGGGTGCCTGCCCTAGCCTCTTGCTGCAGATGCGTCTCTTGGCAGGTCCCCCTTGTCAGTAGCCAGGGGGGTGGGGGCGCTAGAGCCCAAAGGTGTCCAGCCTTTTATGTGCTCTTCCTTTCATCTACAGTTGCTCCCACCCCTTTCCCTGGCTCATTCTCTGTTCTGGAAGTCTTACCCTTCTCATCTCCATCGGGTGCCCTGCAAATCCAAAGGCCTGAGACTGAGAAATCACAGCTGCCTCTTCCCGTGGTTGTTCCCACCTGTCTGTCCAATCATCACTCCTCTCACCTTTTGCCGTTGGTCTCTCCTGTTAGGACTCGGGTCCTTAAGGGCAGAGGGCCTGGTACCCAGGAGCTATGCCATAAACATTCACTGGGTGGATGGATGAAGAAAGGAGCAAAAGTGAATACATGGCAGCTTGAGGAAGAGGGAGTTCTGAGTGCAGGGTTAGGAGTGACCACGGTGTTCCATGTATGGGCCCCGAAGACTCCTAGTGGCTTTGTAAACCTTCATTCATATTTGATAGCATTTGGGAGTGGCAGGAGCTCTGCTGGAAAAGAGTCTCATGCAGAGACTCTGCGAGGGAATTCTCAGCATGCCCAGGGAGAGAGGGAATTAGAGGGGACTTTAGGGCCTTTAAAGGATGATCATAAACGTGTATATGGGGGAGGCTGGGAGCCCTCAGTGATGCTCCTGCAGGAGTGGAGAGGGGAGACACGGAATCTTTAGTTAGTGGAGTCTGGCTAGGTTTTTACTACACATTGTGGACATTTTCCTCAACAATAACCTTTTGCCCTATTTACGTCACCACCACCCATACATCAACTGATGGCTTTACCTGTATATGTAATTGCTCTATTATCCTACTGGGAATTATGAATAAATGAGAGTATTTACACTGGTTGATGGATCTAGGATTCCCCCTTCTCTCTCCTTTATTTTCAATATATTCTATAATATTATGTGTTCATTTCGTAATGGAATAAGAAACGAAGGCCCAGTCCGTACCCGGCTCTTCTCCCCATCATGTGCTCTTTGCGTAGTGTGACTGCATTGCTGTACGGTAATGTCCAGCATGTGGGCTCCGGAGCCACAGTGCTAGGGTTTATATGCTGTGCTCTGTGACTTTGGCCACCTCACTTAACCTCTCTGGCCCTCAGTTTCCTCCTATGGAAAATGGGGATAACAAGAGCACCCATCTCCTATAACTGTTATGAAGATTCAGTGAGCAAATATATGTACAATATTCAGAATGGTGTCTGCAACACAGTAAGGCCAAAGTCAGTGTTAACTGTCACTACTATTTATATATGATGTTAATACTTAAAAAGAAAAATAGTGAGCCTAACAACCCGAAATGGTTATAAAAACTTGTTTACAGGGGAGCCTGGATGATTCAGTCGGTTGAGCGTGTGACTCTTGATTTTAGCTCAGGTCATGATCTCAAGGCTGTGGGATCATTGAGCCCCAAGTTGGGCTCCATGCTCAGCGGGGAGTCTGCTTGTCCCTCTTCCTCTGCAACCCCCATTCTCTCTCTCTCTCTCTCTCAAATGAATAAATAAAATCTTTTTTAAAAAGTCTGTTATAGTGTTATGTTGACTTATGACACAGGTTAGAAGACTTTCCATTCAAGATAACAAAAATTAAATAGTTGCGTTGCTCTAAAACCCTAGGCTAGCTATGGGAAGAACCCAGTTCTACCACCCATGTCCTTCCTGGCTCTGGAAGGCTGAATTTGGCTCTGTTTAGGCTGCCCTCTGGTGGAGACCTTGCAGGAGGGCTGGAGGCTAAAGGACCACTATATTCTCACTTAACACAACAAAACAAAAACACATGCACACAATTCCCTTCCACTGCTTGGACAAAGTGATTTTTTAATGGAACTCTCTGTCTCATTAGCCAACAGCCTAGAGCATGGGCTGGAAGCAGATGTGCTGTGGTGTGGACTCCGGGTTCTGGTTGTTGAATATGCTCTCCTTGTGAGGTCTACTGATCTCTACCATGCTCTTCAGTGTACAAAGCATTGGTTCAATCCTTACAGCAGCTCTTAGGATGGGCACATTGATCCCCATTTTAACGATGAGGACACTGAGATTTATAGAAAAGCAATGACGTGCCCAACATCACACATCAGTGTATTGGGTCATCCGTTATTCAATATGCCAAGTAGACCCAGGGACCAGGAGCTGAATAATCCCCTCACACGGGCTCTGAGCATGCTATGAGAAAATCATTATGTATAGTGGTGGCTGGGGTGTAGGGGGTGGCTCAGGGGACTGGGGGAATGCTCAGAAATGGTATTTATACAGAGTTGGGCAGGAAGAGTCCCCAGAAGTGGAGCAATTGAGCTCAGTCTTGAAATAGGAGGGGCACCTTCCCAGGTGACAAAAGCTGGGGAATGTAGGCCTCCCGACCTTGTAAAATCTCCCTCATAATATAATACCTTGTAATATATGTATGACCCAGCATAAAAGTAACTCTAATATATATTAGATCTTTTTGCTTTGATCGTTAAGTTTAAATTTTTAAAGTTTTTTTTTTTTTTTTTTTGTCAGAGAGAGACACAGAGAGCAAAAGCAGGGGGAGCAACAGAGGGAGAGGAAGAAGTGGACTCCCCGCTGAGCAGGGAGCCCGATGAGGGATTCGATCCCAGGCCCCTGGGATCATGACCTGAGCTGAAGGCAGACGCTTAACCGACTGAGCCACCCAGGCATCCTAAGTTTAAATTTTTAAAATCATCACTCTTCCACAAGCAATTTGAGTTCATTATTAAAGATTCTGAACATTACAGAAACAAAAATAATAAATACCTTGGTTGACAGATTTCAGATCCTTTTTTTCTGCATAAAGAACCACGTATGTATCAACCTAACAAGATGTCAGGAACACTCTCCTGGGTCAACGAACGTGGATGTTCAACACAGTTTGAATGTTTGCAGAGTGTTAAACCTTGTGGTTGCACTACCACATGTTTGGTCGATACCCTGCTGGTGGACACCGGGCCCATTTACTGAACAACTCTGAAACTAAGCCAAGCTGAGCTGGAGAATGGGGCCGAGATACAAGCAGCTGGGGACAAACCAGGTAAAAATTACTCAGCGACCCACCCTTGCCTTTCTTGTAAGTTATTTGCCTTAGATGGAGCTGCAATTCTGAAAGCTAATCTGGGTGTTTTGCAAGAAGAACAAATAAGCAGAAGTACCCTTTGGAGCCTTAAAAGTCGACGTGGGTTGTGTGCAGTAAAGTCTCAGAGCCTGGCTGAAATGGCCTCTGGGTGCAGGTGGATGTGGGGAAGCAGCAGACTTTCCATCTTCCGGAGGATGCGTTCGTTATGGGCGGAGATTCTGAAATGCAATACAACCCTGTAAAAAAACAAACAAACAAAACAAAACAAAACCACATATAGAAGATTCCCTTGTCACCTTATCTTGTTTTGAAAATGAAATTTGTGTCCACAAAAGTGAGGTGTGCTTCTCTCCTAATGAGACCTTACAAGATTCTCTGAGTTCCAACACAGACAGGAGTATTTGAAATACTCCCAATGGTGTGTCCTTGAACTCAACACACCTTGGCTACTTCTTCCCTCTCTTCTCCATCTCTTCACCCTCTCCTAGTTTTTCGCATACCAACTTCATGCCAGGTGTTGCAGGCACTGGGGTTACATACCGGCAATGTGCAGAGCTGACCTGTGGGGACCTTATTCACAGCCCCTGGCGCAGTCGACAAATCTACAAATGCACACGTGAGGGCAAGGTGCGTAGGTCCGAGGGAAGCACGTACGATTCTATCTACGGAGGTCAAAGAGGTTCCCAGAGCAGCTGACGTTTGGGCTGCATCTTGCCAGGAAACAAGGGGGAAATGCTTGTGCAAAGGCGCCAAGGGTGAAATCATTAGTCCTACGTGTGCAGAGAGAACTACAAGGCACCCGGAGTGCTGGGAGCCTGTCGGAGGCTGGAGAGGGACCAGGGCTTTCTGTGGCATGGAGGCAGACAGGTTTTCTGCCACACACGATGAGGAGGCACCAAAGGGCTCTTAGTGAAGAAATTACAATATGTGATCGGTCATGATCTTTCTTGGTTCCTTGCCTTCAAGCATCCTCCACTCTGAAATGGCCTTCCCAACCCCATCTTCCTTTTATCTGGCTAACTCTGATCATCCTACACGTTTCAGCTCAAATGTCCCTTCCTCCGAGAGTCTTTACCAGAGACATCCCTTCTAGTTCTGACACTGCTACTCAGTCTCCACATCATGACCTGTCATGATGGGCCTCTGTCACCTGTAAAATGAGGATCACAACATGGTCTCACTTCTAGGCAGGGGCAGGATGTAAGGAGGGAGGGGACAGAGACTGCAGAGGATGGTCACTGCTGATTAATCTGTCCCTGGAACAGCAGCAGGGAGGTGACTGTGGAGCCAGGTCAGGGTCCTGAGAAGACTGGATGCTGGATGGGGGTGTGGGTGGGGCACTCGTGGGCAGAGGAGGGATGGGAGTTGTCAGGGGAGGAGTTAGTACCTTGCAGATGGGGGGTTTGGGGATGGTGGTGGGGCAGAGAGAGCTGAGAACAGCTGTGACAGGGAGAAGTGGGAAAGTTCAGGCCCAGAACTGCCACTTGGGCCTCCTCCCCTGAAGAGCGTTACTGGGCTTGGGGCAACCCCCGGAGGGGGGTGTCCCCCCGGAGCTGGGCAGAGCCTCATGGGCAGGCCATCAGCATGGTGTCCTCAGTGAAGAGAGGGAGAGAGAGCGGGAGAGCGAGAGAGCCTCAAGGATCTCTGAACTCAAGGGCACCCAGGCTGCAGTGATGCCCAGTCACAGGACTACTTCCTGTTCCCACTAAGTGTCCCAGTGGAGGCACTAGACTCTGACAAGACTGGGGGGCTCTCGAGGGTAGAGGTTCTAGCTCCCCAGCAGGGCGTGGTGCGGAGAGAGTGCCCGGTAAAGATTTGTTTCATATCTTGTAACCTCTATGTTGAACAAACCCAGGTGGGACATCATCAGAATATGTTTTTATTTTTGTTTTTCCATCCTTTTAAAACGTGCCTAGGACCCTTGACTTTTCTGTTCTCACTCAGGCAGTAATTGTCTTGCAGTCACTTGGGTTGTGAATAGTCTCACTCAAATAATTAGAAAGGCTAGTTTGTGTAATCATCATCATCATCATCATCATCATCAGACTGGAATTTAGCATTCAGTCTTGTCCCCTCCTCCTAGCTGTAGAGGATGGTTGGTGAAAACCTGCTGTGTGAGTGGCCAGTGGTCAGCTTCTCACCTTCTCAGCTCCTGTCCCCACTACTTGCTAGTGAAGGCTGGCAATCGGAGGGGGGCAAGATAATTAGGGGTCAAGACAGGGTCTCCTGTGGTGGGACTGTGGCTGGGGGGAGCCTTGCCGGGAGCCAGCTTTCTGAAGCTAAGGCTCTCACTTGTCCTGCCTTCATGGACTCTTCAGAGACCTCTGTGGCCACAGCCCCTGTGACATGGGCGGTGTGTTCTGTCTCTTTGGATGTCATTCCCCTGAGCCTCTGGTCCGCTGGTGGCCCACTGTGCACGGCATCTCACTGTTGGGGTCCCCTCGGCCTTTCAGGCTCTGCTCTCCGGCAGAGCTTAAAACCCCGCTGGCCAGGCTCTTCGGGGCCTGGGAAACACTGGCAGGTCCTCACGGACGAGTCCTGGGAAAGCAGCCCCGTCCTGTGCAGGCTCTCCTTCCCATCCTGCTGCCCAGGCTGCCTCAGCTCTCAGAGCCCTTCCTGCACCCCCAGTCTGTGGGAACACAGCAGGGATGGCCCGCTGCAGCCATGGAGGGCCCCTGGTCAGGCTTGAGGGGAGGAGGCCACCCACCCCCAACACTCCTTGAAAATGATGTGGGCTCTTGGCCACAGCGCCCTGCAAAGAAATCTCTTCACAGATCCTCCCCTCCTCTTCTGACATGCACAGACCCTTCTGTCTTCTCAATCAGGGGACAGGGCTCAGGGATCACAGAACCTGCTGGAGGAGGTTTCCTCTGGGAATTCTAGATATGGGGAGCTGGCTCACACCCAACTCCGTGGGGCCCGGTGAGAGGAGACCCATCTGCCAGGTCTGCTACATTAGGCTGAAAACGCGGGCAGGTGGAACGTCAAGTTCAGCCACTCTGAGTTCACTGCTCCTTTGCTCTGGCCCTCCTCCCCCACTAAACGTCTGCTCTGAGAGTCTGAAACCTGCAACCACGGGGGGACTGGACAGCCCTAACATCTAAGCAGTCTTTATTGCATTCAGTTTGGATCGCCTTTAAGTCATCAATTTTTAGGTGAGGCTATTGGCTGGGACTAAATTCAGCAGAGGATGGAAGTGGCTAAGATTGCTCCACAAACTTGCTGTGTAAATGTGGGCCTAATGGCAAGTAACCTGCACCTACTTAGCAGAAAATCAGCGTCTCCTTGAGGTTCGCCCGTCTCACCTGTCTCCGCTGGTTGGAGAAGGTCCTGGTGGGCGCGGGACAGCCCTGGGATCCGCCGCAGCCGCTGCCCAGCGCTGCCACACGGTGGCGCCGTCGAGGGACTCTCAGCCTCCACAAAGCGGCTTTTGTCCGCGTCCCCGCGCCGCCGCTCAGCTTCTCCCCGGGGTCGGGGCGGGGGGGGGGTGACCCCATTCCCTCAACCGCAACCTCAGCCAGGGGTGACCCCCCGCTCGAGCTCACGAGGTTGCAGCTCAGCTGAGTTCTGCCTCCAGTGTTTTTTCACAGCCGCCGTCCAGGTGCCCGCTGGGCCCGGGAACCCCAGGGCCGCACAAGCTGCCGAATCCTAGCGAGCCTTTGTTTTCCACTCCCAACACAAAGGGCGCTGTTATCACCTCCCCGTCTGGACAGGGGGCTCCTGGCATCTATCTAGACTTCTGAGAAAAAGACCCTCGGTGACTCATTAAGGGAGTCCAGCATGCCCTAGCTCTCTCTGCCCCTTCCCTCCACCTCTGCTCAACAGCCCATGAAGGCCAAGTGGGTTTTCTGTCTGAGTCTACAGGCCAAGAAGAAGTTGGCACTTTTCTCAGGAAAGCAAAGGACTACAAGTGTATCTTTTAATCTTTCCCAGGCACCCCTCTTGTAAGTCACTCTGCCTCAAAGTAAAACTGTGTCTAACATGCTTTAAGATCTAGAATGGTCGGCGGCCCTGACCTTCAGAGCAGACCTCTGGGAGCACATGTGAAATTGGTGCAGCAGTCCAACCTTTCGCCCTTAAGGAAGTGACTTTAGATTCCAAGGGCTTGCTCATGCATGGCAATTCGTTTTTAAAGCTTTCAAGAGCAAAGGGTAGACTCTGTGGAGCTGCAGAGTGGGGAATCCAGTGTTTTTGTGGCAGAGATCGAAGTCATGGAGTGCTGGATGTCACACCGGTGACTAAGCCGCCTCTTAACTGAGTAGGAGCCAGGCACTGAGGGAAGCAGGGTGGGATGGTACATCCCACAATCCAGGATAACCCCGGCTGCCATCTTTGAACATGGGGATAACTCAAAGCATCTGTGGGGGGTGAGGTACTCTGCATATGTTATTTCTTATCCTCATGACCAGTCTCTTTGGTAGGTATTTATTATCTCCCCCCCCCCTTTACAGATGAGGAAAGAATGGCTCAGAGAAGTTAAGTAACCAATCCAGTGTCACACAGCTAGTTATTAGTGGAGTTGGGATTCAAACCCAGATCTCAGGACTCTACAACTCATTCTCATCCCCTCACACTATGCTGCCTCTGGAGAATGGTGTCTACCTTGGAAGAGGATGGCAAGGAGAAGATAGCTGGGAATGGATCTTGCCATGTTTCACGGTTCCTTGCGAAATTCCAAGTTTAGACAAATGATAGCTTGGCCATGAAAATCATTCTGACTTACAGACCCTGGCAGAAAGAGTGGGTGGGAACAAAGGGCACAGAATGAACATGACCACTTCTTTTTCTTGGTGGCATGTGGGCTTCTTGTTAATGTGTATCCTCTTTCACATCTCTGTGTCTTTGCCCCCACTGCTCCTCTGCTTGGAGTTACTTCCGCCTTCTCCCCTCCTCCACCTGGGGAGT